GCCCCGGCCGCGGGCACAGCCCGGCCTCCGCCCCGGCCCCGCCACCCCAGGAAGCGTAAATCCCAGCTGGTGATGGCACACAGAGATAGGGAGACCTCAGGGATCTGTCTGAAGTCCATAAAGGAAAACCGCTATTTCCTAGAGGAAAACCCCCTCGCTATCAAAGCCTGGAGGAGGCATCCTTCAGCAGCGAACCGGTGTCTGATTCAAAACAGCTGTACCAAAACCACCCCAACTTTCCCAGACACAGGCCAGCAATCCAGCTCTGCAAAGGGGACAGGCCCCTGGCTCTGCTTTATCACTGCCGAAAGGCAGCAATGGGTTTGGGTGCAAGGGTCGCCTCTTGCCTCCAAACACTCATAGACAGTACCGAGCTGTTGGGCCACAGCTGGAGAACTGAGAGCAGAGTTTGAGCGAGCCAGCTAGAGAGCCCTGCACATACGACACAACATCTCCTGAGCCATTTGTGCCTCCATCAGCGTCATGGCACCTTTGGCTGGACATAAACATCTTGGCAGGTATTGCGCCAGCCTCGCCTGTGACACTCTTCTTGTGTTTGAGACCCCATCTTTGATGGCCTGAAAATCTCCTCCCTTTTAATTTGGCTCAGACAGTCATATTGTCCTTGTCTGGAGGGCTACATTGACCTCCTAAATGACAAGTTCCTTTCATGATTATATACATGGCTCTAAAATGCAGCCGACTCACTCTGTTTTACCCTCTGGAGACCTCAGCAAGGGCTTTGTCCTGAAAGGGACAGCTTTGTGACTGGTTTCAATAAGTCAAGAGCTCTTGTGTTCCTAAGCATTAAAGAGGATTTAAACTTTTTTATATACATATAGGATTAAGTGAACCTCTAGTTCAGTGTCAGATCTTTTTCATTTTTGAAGGAGTTCAATCTCAATCAGACATCTAGGGATTTATTGTCAAGCTTGTCTCAAATAATTCCCACATCGTCGTTGTTTTATATTGTTTCAAATAATAGTCTGGTTTCATACACATGATTGCAGTATGATTTTGGTGTGAGCTAGTGGTAGCTGTGAAATCATACTCTGCAGGTAAGCAGTCATTCAAATGTATCTCAAAGAATTGCGCATGATGGGGAGCAACAACATATCTCATAATTGTTTCTGTTTCTAGGTATTCTTGAAATAACTGCTGTTGATGTTGGAATCGTTGCCATCAAGGGCTTGTTCTCTGGCAGATACCTGGCCATGAACAAAAGGGGCAGACTTTATGCATCAGTAAGTTTTACTTAAGGCTGGCATATGCCTGTCATTTCCTACAGGGAGAACAGGTCCAGTGGGGAGCACTGATTTCTTATAAATAAACATTTATAGAGAAAAGAGTAATGTAATAACACATTTCTGTCTGGAATTGTTGCAGGCAACCATTCAGTATATTTTTAAAAGTGGAAAGAAGCTGTGGTCTTACTTTCGTATTGCCTGTACAGCCAAAGGCAGAAGAATATATTTGGCAAAGGTATTTCACGCGGCCAAAGTTCTGGGCAATTGGGTGCACTCATAAAGACCTCAGGAGCCAGCCTTTGCAGTGCAGAAGGTCCATCTCTATTCAAAATTATCCATATTTATATTCGATGTGGATCTTGGACAGTGGCAGAGAATATACATGTCAGATAAGGAATATCCAGAAGCAATTGAGCATCTCCATTTACAGGAAAGCAGCCTACTGATGGGAGTTTCTTTGCACAGAGCATTTGGTTGGGCAGTGAAAGAGTTTACAGGTACTAAAAGGCAGGACTATAGCAAGGGAAGGAAGTATGAGAAGGTGCAAGAGGATAAAGGTGAAAATAAACTCTTTATGCTACTCCTTTGACCTCATTTTTTGTCCTGATATTTGAGGTAAAATCTGGGCTCTACTGATAGTAGTGGGAGTCTTGCCTTTTCAGCCCAGCCAATTTTTCCCCTCAGTGAATAAAATACTTTAGCTTAGACTTCTTCACATTCAGGGACACACTAAGGCGTATTTGTCAGTGTGTATACTATACCCATTATCTACCTACTTGAATTTCTTCCATTGTCTTTGATTACATCCCTAGCAATCTTGTGATCTCTTACTGTGTAACAGCCATACTGTGCAGTTTCTCCAGGAATCCTGTGGTATGGATACAGATTTGAAGAGGGTAGAATATGGCTATGTGAAATTTGCTTCCTCCAACTAGTCATTATGTGTAATTCTGTTGATTTGAATAGCATGATAAGTCCTCGAGCAATGTGAGCTTTTTTTTTTCCATGTGAATGCAATCAGGTAACACAATCAACTCAGTTGCCTCCCTAGTTTAATGTTTTTTACTCCACCTTCTCAAGAATGTTCTGATAGGGATTGTGATCCAGCTTCTGTAATGTGTCTCATGCGATACACACTGATTAAAGGGCCTGTGTGTAAAGATGATGGTTCTTTGCTGATGCAGAGAAGCAGATCACAAACAATTTTGGCAAAGGAAAATGCAGCTGAAGTGGAATGAGGACATACTAGCTCTGCTGTGCCAGAGCTAAGGCTGACCACTTCCATGCTTCCAGTTAATATTCTGATTAAAATGAGCATCTTTTTCAATGGGGCTCCTCCATCAGCTCAGAGCCAGTGTCTGCCCCAAAGAAATTAATGGGAAGGATGAGTTTTCAAGTTCTTTCTCATCTTTCTCTCTTTCTTGTTCAAAATATGTATGTTTTTCCTCCAGATTAATTAAACTGAATTAAAGTAAGACTAAACAAATTCTGAGCAAAAACCTCCTCTCCCGGAGCGGAGAAAAGCCTAGAGTAGGTTAGCCCACAGAGTCCTTTTCTCCTGGACTTCCTTTTCTAGTGTGAGGAGCATCAGGCCATCCTGAAGTTTCGTCAGCTGTCACGTGCCAAGCAATATCGGCCATGAAAGGTTTCTGTACAACCAGAAAAAATAATTTTTGCTGTTCCAGCTCAAGTTTGAGAGAGACTGTTTCAGACTTGTGTTTTGGAGGAATCCCTCCAGGAATGAGGAAAAATTTCTTTACTGAAAGAGTGGTTAAACAGGATGCCCAGGGAAGTGGTTGAGTCACCATTCCTGGAGGTATTTAAAAGACGTGTAGATGAGGCGCTTAGGGACGTGGTTCAGCGGGCATGGTGGTGTTGGACTCGATGATCTTAGAGGTCTTTTCCAGCCTTAATGTTTCTATGATTCTATGATCCAGGAAAAGCTATTCCACTGCAGCTTTTTTTACAGAAGCAGCAAAGGGTGAGGGCTCAGCTCAGGAGAAACTTCCTGGCTTTGCTTGCCTAGAAAAAACTGACCAACGACTTTACTGATGTTACTGTGCCAGGAACTTGTGCAAGGCCTCTATTTCAAATAAGACTGACTTCTTTGGGGATAATTATACAGGGAGCATTTTATGAAATGGTATTGGACTAACTCCATTATCCCTTGGTTCACCAATTTTCCCATGTCAATAAAACGAGTTTGTTGAGTCTGCAGAATTCCTTTGTGTCCTTAGCAGATTGTGATAATCCTCTAGGTTTATCCTCTGTGATAAACCCCCTACAAACAGAACTGAGGCAGACAGCAGGACAAATCTACCTACACATGGTAGTTGCGTGGGCTCCAGCACCACAGCATATGAAAACCTTGTCCTTGCAAGGAAGGCCACTTCCGTTTTACAGCTGTGAAGCTGAGACATGTGGAGTCTTTTAAAATCTTGTTAAATGCCTATCAGCATTTCTGGTGAGTGAACAGCATTAAAGACGTGTTGTTAATGGAACCTATGGCTTTTCTGGCCCCAGCCTGGCTACCTGTGCCCTTTCCATGTCCTCCGCAGAGGCAATGCTCCATAAAAAACCTCTGTAAAGACCATGGTAGCAGTTCCCCTCTGCCTCTGTGCTTTACGCATGTTAGATACTGAAGTCTTAATCACACAGGTACAGCAAAGATGATTTTGTAGTTAAGAAAAGATCTACAGTGTGGGAGGTCCTTTTATTTGCACCGTTTCTACTGCTCCCAGGGAGGAGAAACAAAGAAGCTTCATAAAGGTGTTGTTCACTGCTCAAATATCTGTAACAAACTGGATGTAATAGACTGCAGGTGTGTCTAACTATGAATATACCAATTAAAGAGCCACATTTTACATTAAACTGTAGTATTTCACCTTTTTAATAGATGTCAAAGGTTGATAGGCAGCAATTAAATCATCTGTCCAGTTCACAGGCATATTTAGGTCCGTAAGCACAAAAAAATTAAATTTACAGCTGAACAATCAGCAGAGCTATTCATTCCTATTCACATGCCATTTTTTTTGTTTTCAAATTGTTTTTTGGCCTCTTTCTGTCTCTGACCCATGGGGTATGCTCACACTGCTGAGAGCACCTCGTTGCACAGCAGTTCGGGCTCCGCGCTTCTCTTCTGCTCGCCTTTTGTAGCACCAGTCTGAGTTTTTCTCACCACACGTGTTGCTGTCCTTATCCTAAAACTGAGTTGAGTCTTGCTTAAGACTTTAGTCCAATCTTATTGAGGTAGAACAGAGCTGTTGCCCATATAGTCTTTCTTAAACATTGTCATGTTCGCTTTACAGGAAAATTATAATGCAGAGTGTGAGTTCGTGGAGAGGATCCATGAGTTGGGTTATAACACCTATGCGTCCCATCTCTACCGGACTGTACCTAACAGAGCCGGCACCAAGCGCAAAGCCAGTGCAGAGAGACTCTGGTATGTCTCAATCAACGGGAAAGGACGACCCAGAAGGGGCTTTAAAACTCGCAGGACACAGAAATCGTCTCTCTTTCTGCCCAGGGTATTGGATAACAAAGACCATGAAATGGTCCGACTGTTCCACACAAACATGAAATATCGAGAGAGTCTCCTGAAGCCCCCGAGCAAGAACCAGCGAAGAAGGAGAGGACACTGACGGGGGTGGAGGGAGCTTGTATGGGGGCTGGAAGTGACCGAGGGTCTTCAAAATACTACTAAAAAAACTAACAGCTGTGATTGTATGACAGGCATTAACACGGACATTTTTTAGACACTGTATAATATAACTGAAAGTCACATCACTTACTTTTAGCTATTGTAGAATTATTATCTGTGGTAAAAGAGATGTGAGATAAACTAAGGCACATTCAAATGTAAATTTGTTGGATGTAATAATTTCGTCAATGATTTTCACATTTTCTTTTCTGAAAAAAAAAATCATTTTCATTACTAGCATTTTCATTCTAACTTGCCATAGGGTATTATCTCAGTGACCCTGTCCTCCCAGATCATATGACTATTTTACACTTAACCAATTTTGTGTCCACAGAGAAAGCATGGCATCTTCATGGCTCTTTTGGCAGTTCCTCATAAAAGGTTACATTCCTATTTTTATGGAATACAGGAGTTAGAAAATTGGTTTATTTTTTAACTTACATGTATTTATTTTTATTTTATGATCAGTCAGTATCAATTATACTTTTTCCATGACTGTCCAAGAAAAGTAAAATTGTAAGCTACTTCAAACATTTCAACAGACCTACACATTACTAGAGTATTTTTGAATTGGTTTAATTAAAAAGCCAAGACACCTGACCTTGTCATTCAAATAAATGAATGTTGGTGAAGTGGCATTTGCATTGGCCAAGCTTTAGCAATATATACCTGTTTACCAATTGACGAATCCTCTTCTAAAATAGGACCCAAATACGATGTGAAAGCCGAGTTTGTGGTGTGGACTGAACTTGCAATATAGGAAAATTCAGCATTGGGGATGAGAATCTTTATCGGGTACTTTTGTTTAGCTAAGTTTTCTACAGGAAGTCCTAGTTCTAGGTTAAATATGTTTTAACTATTTGGGGGGGGGGAATAACAGTCACATTGGGCATACAAAAACTGTAGTGACTCGCTAATTTAAGGTGGCTGCTATGTTCTGATTTTCCTTTCTTTTCAAATGCTTGTTATTTTCACAAGGTAGTCCTAACCCGAAAGCTCCAAATCCAGACGGGGGTTAATGATCTTGAGTTTTCATTCAATCCACATAAAAATATGTTTCTATAAATTTTTCTACTCTGATTCTGGAAGTTAACTTTTACAAAGTTGAGGGGAGTCCACATCACAAGTTTAATTTTGAGGAAGGGGTTAAGCTTTAAAAATTTCTCTTCACAGCCAGGAGATGACAGAGTAGTACAAAGATTTAGATGTGCTTGACAAGCACAAATAATGGTCATTTCAATGGGATTTGGCCTTGTGCTCTTCACTTCCTAGAATTAGGCCTTGATACAGCACAGCTGCAGAAAAGAGAGACTGCGCTGAAATAAACATTCAGTTTGAGTTTAACAAAAGATCTGTAAGTTAAATACGAGATTATATAGAAACCGACAGGTGCAAATCCCATTCCTGGTCATATTGACACAAAGGTCTTCTTGTGGGCTACCTACTGAATAACAGTATGATCATCTAAAACGAGGTAGTGAAAATCTTCCATCACTAAGGGATGAATTCTGTGAGAGAGAGAAGTAAAATGAGTCCATAGAATGAGTTTACTAAGCCTAGTAGTTACAGGTTTAGCACTGCTTACATCCCTATAAAGGTAAAAACAGAAAGGTGTCTTTATACCAAAAAGTACACTCCATTCCTTCTACCTTCGCATCTTTTCTGTAACATTCTAACAAAGAAAGAAACTATGTTTGAATAAGAAAGTAAAAATTATTTGATCTCTGCTTTCCTTTATATTGAAATAATGTAAAAAGACACTTAAATGGCGTACATTAAATAGTGCAATCTGGTGCCCACAGAATAGACCTAGGTTTAAAAAAGGGTACAGAAAACCATGAACCATGTTCCCAAATTTTCTTGCTTTTACAAAATTACTGAACATAGTGATGGGATCTTCACAGAAGTAATCAGGCAGTATCATGTCAGGAGCCACTGAAAAAGCTGTGCAAAGAAGCAGCATGGAGACTGAAGAAGAAACAGAAGAAATCAGACTTTCTGTTTTGTTTACTCTCCTGTAAACACACAAGGTCCAAACTGCTGCAGAATTCAAGGTGTTTTTTGAAAGTTGGTTGTATCAGTGAAGAAAATTAAGTTTTTCGTCCTGGGCATCAGGGGTGTTTTGGGGACACATTGTTGACTACGCTGGCTACCCTATTGCAGCTCTGTATTTCCCTTCAGGCTACTGGCAGGGGCTGAACAGGGTGACTGGGCAGGAAAGAGGGGGACGTAGGGAGTCCTCATGGCTCTCAAGCTTCAAGAACAAAATGCAAGGGAAGGAAAGTGTCAGTAAGCCCAGCTGGCAGGGAAAGATGACCTACAACTGAAGACTGAGAGCTGTTTTTCCCCATGTCTAATTTCTGAGTCATATTTATTTTGGACGCTTTCAGATCTACTTCACCTCAACTTGTAAGAAAAACAAGATCCATTCTCAGCTTTCTCTCCCCTAAAAATTTTTGTTGTAAAACTAATGATTAATGACTGCATCAGGTATTTTTGCTACAATCCTGATCATCTAAAGAAAGTGGACAAACTCCTGTTTTCCGTGACACAAAGACGGCATCTTCATGCCAGCTCCAAGTCCATTTCCTATCAAACATTTAGTCTTCACTCTTAGCTTTTCTCAAGCGCAAGTGGTTGTGCTGGCTGTATCCCTTGCTTTTCTGTCTCTGTTTTTATCAAATTTTCCTCTCATTCTTTTCTCCTTCCACTTCTCTTTTACAGATGGTCAAACTACCTGCCATAATGCAACAGAAGGTAATTGCTATAGGTGGTATAGGAATACCATTAATTACAAAGCACCTGCTTACTCCTGTCTGTGTTTTGAGCTGTATTGCATGCTTGTTGTAGGAGTATTGTTTTAAGCACCTTCCCATAGGAAATTGCAATGAAGTTTAGCTTAACGCATGAACTATATCCTTATTTCAGTTTCAGTTTTCATCCCAACAAAGTCTAAAATACTGACACTGAAAAAAAAGGAGGGGGGAGACAAAAGAAAAAACAATTAACTGATTGGATGCAATGCATTTTAACTACTGTAGGTAAGTGATGATTTTCACATCAACCTAAAACAATTTTACTGTCATTCTTAGAATTTTTCTTTGCTCGGTCTCATTGCAGCAATTCAAAGGAGATGGCTTTGGGATTTGTCTTTTTTTTTCTTTTTTTTTTTAATCTTTTAAGAAATACTAATGTTCTTGTTGAAATACTTTTCATTACAGACATTCATTACTTAATATTCTTTTAGCAACCTTGAATTCCACAGTTTGCAGATACTGACAGGCTGAAATCCTATTCACTATAATTATCCCAGTTGTATCCTATATCCCATTTTATTTATTTGGACCAGAACCTTACGGGATACCTTACAAGAGGCAGTAGACTTGAGTTACTGTTACTTTCCCCTTAGGATTGTAAAGTCAAGGTGTGTCTCCTCTTTTAAAAGTTTCTTGAGTGACTTTATACCTTTCCATCATACAGGCTATTATCAGACTCTTTTCTTTTATTTTGAGGAAGATGTAAGCTTTACCCATTTTGGATTGTAGAGTTTCTACAAACTTCACATACTCCAGAAGTTCACTGGCATCCTTAAATTCATCACAAAACAGAGATCATAGAAAGGGTCATTCAGGGAAGCCAGACCTGGTAAAGAGCTCGTCTGCTGCAGCCTTTTGGCTATATACCAGGTCAATTTTCAATTGTTTTGTGGATCAGAGTCCATTTCAGGGCCACCATCAGCATTCTGTGCTTACACCTGCATTAGCACGCAGTGCAGACCCACAGCAACAGACCTGCAGAGCAAAACCTTTGGTGTCAAGCACCCAATGTTCACACTATGCATATTTTGGGAGTGGGTGGGAGGGTTATTCTGGATAAGTTCCAGTCTGGCCCTATGGACTGAAAGCCCTTTGGCAGGTGGAGTGCTCTGAGAGGGTCTTTGGGTTGAGTGTCGCCAAGAAGGAATCCACTTCATGTGCTCAGCAAACGTTGACATCACTCCAACTAGCAGGAGACCTTGCTCAAAAGCATGTTTCTGATTTGAACCAGACTCCAGTGTAGATGCACCCTGTGTGAGACCCACTCATTCAGACCCTGTAACTGTTTCCTTTGGGGGCAGAAACCAGATCTTGAGACCATGACTTCAACCCTCTCCATCCTGGGTGGCAAGTCAGTTATCAGAGCACAAACTGTTGCTGTTCTCATCCTGGAGCCAGGAGAGCATGGTCACCATGTATTAATTGCCTATTCCTGGGCAACCTGCTCTAGGTGTCCCTGCTTGAGGAGAGGGGTTGGACCAGATGCCCTCCAGAGGTCCCATCCAACCTCAACCTTTCCATGATTCAGTGATTCAATTATTAGTTGTACTGAATCCAAACTGAGTAGTAGTTCACCCTCACCTTTGGATATTCGGACTCATGCTGTGCATTTCAGAGTCCAGTTCCCTAGCCCAACCCCTCAGATTTCTCTCCATTCACAAACTTCATCTGCAGAACTGCCTCCTTCCAGTTTTGCACTTTTTAAGAAATAAATATTGTTCTGTAGAAACCACACAAATTATCCAAATATTGTGTTACTTTCCCAGTCACTCGTACATTACTTGAACTGGACTTGAATGACATTTTCTTTCATGGGCGTGAGGCAGAGAACAGTGCATCAAGGGGTTTTGGCCAGCAGTTTTCATTCACTTGCTTCCAGACGGAAGACATGCAGCCTGATCCATGACTTCTTGATTGATAGCTGAAGCAGACTTTTTTAGTTCCTTTAATCCTTGCTTTAGCCCATCATAGCTCTTATATTCTGAGCTGTTCAAAACTTTGTGTAAAATATTCTGGTCTTTGGGGATTATGTTAGTACTTTTGTGATTGTCTGTTCATAAAAAGCAAGAGTTGTGCGTGGAACATAAATAGCTACGCCATGTTGAATAACTAAGTTACAAAGCAT